ATAATGCCACTTCGCGAATTAACCCGTTCAAAAGCGCCAACTTGCGCTTTCCCATGATTATCTCCCGCGGTACGTTGCGATGAATCAAAGAGAGGAGAAGTTCCTGCGTCCGCAAAAGCAAAATGCTTTTGTAATCCACAAAACGAATCCGAATTTTGATGCCATTTGGATATTCAGATATTCAGACGGTAACACAATTCTACTCCGAAATTCAAATATTCGAACACTTCGATGTAGAAAGCTAGTAATTATTCAAAGTATCTGTATTATGCGATTATTGGATTATTTACAATCCAATATTGGGATAACGAGATTGCAATTTCAGTGCAATGATCCAAATCAACATTTCTCATATCAACATTTCATGGAAATAATATAAAGAATTTATTTAATTTAATGATAATATGGAACTTGAATTTCAATATTTTATAAATTCTTACATATATATAAACGCAGGTCATCTGCGATGACTAAGGTTAATACTCCGAAACACAGTTAATCGTAAAAATAGACTCGAATTCATATCGATATTTATTGTTTCAGTTTTTTGCTGTGACAACAAAAGATCGTGTATCATCTTCCGCGGTCGAGGCCGAAAAATATTTTTACCGTTATCAGATAAAACTCAAGCGACGAAAAAATACGAGAGAAAGGAAGGGCTTTAGCCAACGCGAATCTGCCGGGTAAGCGCTTTTCCCCGACACCCCGCCAAAGCGGAGAGCTGCGGCGGAGTTCTCGGTTATGTAGAAACATTTTATATAATCCCGTATCGCATTGGTGAAAAGATCTCTAAAAATACTGCTGCACTTCATAAGACTTGTATTCTTATTCTGGTCGATCAGAAACGTCAGCGATTTTGTCCAGTCTAGCGTTCCTGTCACTCACTCACTTTAAAAAAAATCGCTCTATAAATCCGTGATTTTTGCCATGTATAATACGGGAAAAAAAACCTGATGCAGAGAAACGTTAAACCGTAGGATTGTAAAATATTATGTCAAACGGTTATTCCTCGGAAAATATTTACCATTGCACTGTGTATGATATTTTTTGTTGTTCGATGTATTCAGGTCCGTATTTAATAAAAAAATTTAGAAAAAAATATATATAAAATACATATAATTTTGTATTATCAACAATATTTAAATTCTACCTCTTGTATCTTCGATTCAATCGAAATTATTACACACTTAAAAAAATCTAAACTAAAAATTCTGTTTCTAAAGGTCTACATACATAATTCCTACACATCAATATTCTAATTGCGAATATTGCGGTCCTTTGACTCCTATACACGAATAGCCCCAGGGACTGGGACTTGCATTATTTAATTATTTGCAGTATTCCATCGCATTAATTAATCAACCTTAGCTTTCACTTGCCAAAACCGCTCCACGATCCGTCTTAGCAGTCGCGATTGCATAATTGGGCCCTACAAAGGATGTTGTATATCATAAACTTGCTAAGCTTTCGAGCTAGCTATCTCAAATGCAAGTCGAAATCAAACGGCCAGAGAAGCAAATAAATAGACAGCTACACTAATATTGTTAATCCATGAGATAATCCTATTTATGAAAGCTAACCTGAAATCTCAAGAATATTGACACGAGAATAGCGAATTTGTGAATGGTCATAGCAACGTATTAAAATTAAAAATTTATAAATATCATTTATCTGTAATAATTACGTCCGCTTGATAAGCGTCCGTTAGATAAAGGTGTTTAAAATTATTACACTGAGAGAAAAATGTCTGGTATTTATGATTATAATTGCATGGTAAATAATTATAATTAGAAGCACCATTTTTATAATTGTTTTATAATACTAGTATAATATTAATGATAATAACACATCAGAATACCATGATCTAATCTCTGGGTCAAAAGATTTTTTATGTGTCTATGTAATCATAGTTCTAAAACCAAAAAATATATATTGGTATCGAAAATAACTATAAATTATATTATAGTTCAATTATGATAATTGCAACCATTTTTTCTTTCATTAAAATGTCTCGCTAGAGAAAAGGCCCGATTTATTACAATTATCCGAGCTGCACCCCGCGCGTTTAAAGACAACACGATAGAGCAGGAAATTAACATTTTTGGTATCCATCATTTGGTAGCCCACTAATTAGTCGCCGATCGTAATGAGGGAACGCACGCGCGAGCGGCGATCAGGCGCGCGGATAATCCACGCGCTGGACGATCGCCATCGGCCTGCCGGAGCGTCGCAACGCGGCTCGACGACGCGCACAGACGGCCGTGCGATATTGCGCTAAACCGAGCAATTACCGGCCGTAATCCCGGTAATAGAATTCCAATATGCGTGCCAATTGGACCGACTCGTCCCGAGTGCGGGCGTGCAGGCGCGAACCGGCAGGCCGAACCTGCACGCCCCGACGAAAACCGTGACACGGTTCGCCCATTAGCCACGGCCCTCGATTAGCCATGAATTGTTTGGGTGTGCACACGTGCAGCAGACACATCCCCACATATGCATATCGCGCATATCGTGCGTAATAAGGGGGAGCCACAATAAGAGGGTCCCGGAAAGAATACACCGCCGGGAACTATTCCTCGGCCCGCCAATCTTTCGAATCGCACGTTCAACACATGATGTGGTCATGGTCACTGTTAGCACAATTTCGAAATTTGCTGATCTAGCGCCGAACGTGATTACTGCACGCATATCGAGAATATGACCAGCATGAATAGCATAGATATAGAATAGAACAGGAAGGAAGGTATCTGTCCGGAATCTCGACTGATGTATATAGAGAGCGAGTATTGAAATCGGTACAATTTCGGCGAGTTCAATTCTCGATGCACAGACGTGGAATTCGATGCTGTACAGCGGTAGTTACGTAAAAATGTAACCATGCGTCAGTCGTCGCGTTTCATTACGTATCTGTGTGCCTGTAACACCGAACTCTCGAAAATTACACTAGCTGCTATCTATCAAATTTACTATCTCTGTTTAAACAAGTTTTTTTTACTGGATACAATATTGTCAATCAAGAAGACGACTTATAAAAAGCACTTTTTAAAATAGCATAAATTGTAAATAAGTAAAAACACATTAGAATTTTTTTTTATAAAAATAGTCAGATTCTTATTACGTACCTAAATTTAACTACTACTGTTCTATTTAAAAATTATCCTATTTTTTTAAATAAAATTTCATTCAGATTCATATTCATCGCATCATCTACCCGAGAAAAAAAACGCCTTTGAGATATTCCATGCTTTCTTATGTGTATATGTACTCTAACATTGCATATAAAATACTTACATAGTTCTGAAGCTGGAAAAGCACGGCGAACAGGAATATGGAGAGGAGATGATATCAACGTGGAAACTATTGTGAGCTTCATGCGCGTGAGGAAGTGGAAAAAAGGTGAAGGTGGATGTCACTGCGTCATTGACAGTCCCGTCGAACTTCCGCATTGTGCCGCGAGCGTGGACTTTCCGCTTTTGCGCGTTTATTCGCAATCCGTTGTGGGAACGAACGACGAACGGTGAAATTTCACTCTGAATATACAGAAACAGAACCGATATTACAAACTGCGTCGCTCGACAATGCACTCGCACATTGTGCAATCACATGAAACACTAAAATGTACTAGTCCTTCACTTATCCGATGAAATTTAAACCGATTCCTACGACGCTTTTATCGCCAAAAAATGCTCCAACTCATATCGTCATTGCATGTACAGAATTACACATAAATCAAAACTGTTGAAAACTAATGTCGATTTTTTAAAAATCGTATTATATTACATAAGTAACGGATAATAAATGTGAAAGAAAAGCTTTATGCTCTCGCCGCGAATAAAAATGAAGTTACTTTACTCTTTCTTTCTTGTTTTATGATGTTCTTACAATTAGAGTTTTCTCTGCTTTTCACGAAATCCGTGAATGGACCTTTGAACAATTCAAAGACGAGTAGATTACTTGGTAAAGTACCTTGTAAGATACTTTAGTAAAGTTAGGTTTAGTAAAAATAATGCTCAGTATGTTTATCTTATCACTGCAGAAACGCATTGAGTCTTCCAACTAAATGGGTACGAAACAAAGGACTAAGAGTTGACGATCAATGTACGGGTGTAGTACGGGTAAGGATCGAGGGTTCTACGAAAGGATATACGAGGAGAACTCGGGCAAGAGGATCCTTTGCCGTTAATTGGACCAGGTCCGATGATGTCGCCGTGCGAATTGTCGGCCACGAAATTACCCCGATATCTTCTCGCGTCGTCATTTAAAGCCCGAGTGGCACAATCGGACGTCGCTACCCGTGTATTTTCTTTTCCTTGTTCCTCGTCGACGATCCCGAAGGGAGTCCAATTACCCAGACGATGAGACCAACCCAGACGAAGAGACGAGTTTTCGTCGAGACGAAAATCGCAACGAGAAAACGAAATAAGACGTGAAGAATAATAAAACGTAACGCCCTCCAGGCGGTCTCTTTTCCTTTTCGCTTTCTCTTCGCAATTGTGTAGCTCGCGAGCGTTGCACGTCTCTGATGTAAATTATCGATTTTATTGGAGCGCGAGATAAATTTAACCCCGATTCATTGCGCGATTACATTTAATTGCCTCCAATTAAATCGCCGTTCCAATTAAAATCAACGCGAGTGCAGAGGGTTCATTACGATTTATTGAACCGATGGTAGTGGTCCTTCTCTCTGCCCTTTATCTCGTACTCTTACATTACAGATTTGTAAAGAAGTGAACCAAAGAAATCAATATGTTTCTTTATATATTATTTTTGCAATATCCTTTCAGAAAAAATGGTATGTTTTTGATTTCTTCATTTTTCTTTATTTAAACGCTTGCATATAGAAAAATTAGACCGACTTTTTTTTAACAAATATTTCAATTTGAAAACTATTATCATTGTAATTAAGACATTTTTAACATTACTTTTTAATACAGAGAAAACGATATTTTTTAAAATAATGTCAATATTTAAAATTGTTTTTAATTCAAGACTAATTAACATTACATTTCTCAGAACAACGCGATTTTATCTCTAAAACATGAACATACGAAATATCTGAACAGCGTAAAATACTCTTTTAGGCCAGGGGAGTGAAGCTTGAAAGATTATGGAAAAAAATCCATCTTGATTGTTCTGTTAGAGAAACGTAGTGCCGTGTTCGTGAACAGTTATTGTAAAGCTTAGTCGATAATGCAATCGCAAATTCGTCTAAAATCGCAAGAATGATCGTAATATTGTTTCTAATATCTCACAGGATAGTTGTATGCGTGGCTCGATTCGGTTTGCTATTTCTACTCCAGCAACCGCGATTATAAATGTCGCTGTGACCTACGACATTCATAGAAAGCATAGTACATTGTTCATAATTGATTGATTATTATGTTACAACCTAGCGACTTGAGACAGAAATATGCAGACAAGTATCGTGAGATAATTCAACTATCTTTTAAAATTGTAACCTAATTCAACAACACTGCGATTTTAAGACTGCAACCTAACTGAGGCACAGAGTGTCTATATCGTTAATTGGATAATTTAATATAAAACTTTCTGGTTAGTTCACACACAGTGGAAATCCTCCAAGCATTGATCGCTATGAGTGGCTATGGTCAATCACAATGTGATTAAACAAGACGCGCTTAACAGAACAACATTGAACACGACGGCATTGTAGACAAGCCTTTAGTATTAATGTAGTACGCCCCGCTCTTTCCACTACCATCATTGCCATTTTGATAATTTTACATTACTATCCTTTCTCTTTGAACTTCAACCCCATAGCACTATGCTTCATCCAAATATTTCGTACATCCATGCATCACTGTCATCCCTATAGTAAAAAGCTAACACATTTTTATTTCATATACGAAAATACAAAAGTATATATGTTTATCATAAATATGTATTTAAAAAAATCAAAAGAGATTTCTTACGAAGAAATGTTCATTGAATTTCCATAAAACGAGTACGTGCAGACGTGGAAGCATTCATTGACTAGTCGGCGGCGAACCGCCGCTGTCGTACTGACTCTTGTTTCTCAATAAATAACCGGCGAGGAAACTTATAGGATCGGCGGGTCTCTCTTTGGCCAGACATGACAATGCTTGCAGCAATATCGGCACTACGGTCTGATCTAAATACTGTCTGGTTGGAAGAGATTGCACTTCGACACGAGGTTTCTTTGCTGGTACACCAGACAATTCGCCATCCTTATCCATCCCTATCACTTTCTGCAATGAAAAAGAATACACAGTTTATACATTTATAAACAATTTTTTCAAAAGCACTTAATAATTAAAGAATTATAATATCTGCGTACATTTTACAAACTGTTGTACGTGTAATTCTTAGTTTCGAAACGCATGCTCCGAATTTGCAAGAATATTACTGTTCCAGCGCGACAGTTGTTATCAGCTGGCAAACGTCAGGTGATAAACACAATAAGGACGCTGCTCTGGCTGTCCTAAACAGTCCCTAACCTAACCTTTGCGCCGTGAACGTGTGGATTCTTAAACGTATCTAGATTATATCGCCGTGGCAGACACGCTCGGCGACAACTCCAACGAAATATCGCCGTATGTTCGTGCGTGTCAGCAGTTGCGACGTTTCTAGGTTATGTGCTCACTTACGTGGGTCGTCTCGGATACGGCATTGGCAACGGGTTGAGCCGGCGTTGACGCCTCCGTCCGTTCCTCAGTCGCGTTTTCTGTCGTTAAAAAAAAAGTAAACAGTGAATGACCGTTATTAGAGCGTGATTTCGAACATCGGGCCTGGCCGAGCGATGGCCGGACCGGCTCATGGTTACGCGGAAATAGAAAATAAGAACACGTACCACCGCCGGACGCCATCGTGTAAACAATCGTCACTGCCGACCGACCGACGTCGAACGTCGGGATAATGTCGCCAACGTCAGGCCGGTAAAATACGCCGTCGACAAGGTAGCGGTTTGAGAATTCGCAGCTGTGAATAAAAGGACCGAAGAAATAAATAATAATTAATATAATATTAAGTGAAAATTGACTGTGAGATATATTCAAATACAAATGAGCGAAAGAGCTGTCTAGTCAAAACGATCAATCTTGGTACCTTATGATAAAAACAATTATATATTAATAATAAGTTAATAATAAGTTCTTTAAAAAAAAATTTATTGATTGAAATTAGAAAACGTACACATCATTTTACGGAGTAAAGTTGCACTTGCGCATAGTGAGATTGATCTATCGATGAATTGAAATAACTCGATCGTCTTATATTTTTATAAATTATAGCAAACTGCGCGTTAATTATATTTTGTTGCTCTTATTGAAACACGATCCTAAACTGAAGTTGGAGTATTAAGGTAAAACGGGGCTAATTGTGACACTTTTTATTCAAATTATTATAAATTTTTACTCAATTATGATAGAACAATGAGAATTGCTTTAAAATATTGCATCACACAATAATTAAGTACTTGTAAATCTTTAATAATATATTTCGTAAATGAGAAAAAATTATTGTTGGTTAAAAAGGCAAAATGGTTCAATGGATCGCATGGGGCATTGAGCAACTCAAAAGAGTAAGTTGAGCCATGAAGATAATCGTTTAATAAGATTATTTTAAAAATAAAAGAATTATGTGCATATTTTAATAAAATCTTTATTAAAATTTGTATCTTATGTAACATAATTTATAATAATTTCTTAATTATATATGTATAATAAAATTTAAAAAACTAAACTTTACTCTTTTTAATAAAAATTAAACATATATCTTTAATTATTAACATAAAATAAACAACCTCGATAAAGACAGACTTTATTTAAGTATCTGAAGAGTTTATAAGATAGTTATGGGACATTTGGCCTAGCAAATCCCGTACCACGATGTGTCGACTGAAATATTCTTTTATAATTCAAAAACTGTAAATAAAATAGTAATTTGAACATTAAAAAATATACTAATAACTTATATCAAAAAACATATCTAGTTTTTATATTAATCACTTCAATTACTATGTAGACCAGAAAAAATATGTATTTGCTTAATAATTTTAATTTTGACAAAAACAAAAAAGCGCACGTGTTTAGCCGTTGACAGCCGTATACAAATAATTATATTCAGCGCAATAATTTTTGTCTTTTTGCTAGTTTATGCAAGCATAGACATGTCCGTACTTATTGTAACTAAAATATGTAATTCGACTACTGAGGCATGTATCTCAGTTAATGCTAAATATTCCTGAAATATTCATAAAATGTTTCTAAAATCCTAAAATAATATTTCAGTATTATTTCGGTATATTCCGAAATATTTACAGAATGTCAGAAAAATAAATTCAAATAATCGTTAAATATCTCATTCACATATATCGTTATATATTCGGAGAATGTTTCATACATATTCCACAAGATTATAATTTTCCCAGAAATTCCAGGTCCCTGCAGAATTCATTTTTAAACGAAATTATACTGTCAAAAACACATTTTATTTATTTTCACCTTGGAACCCAATTTTAGAGGCTCACTTCACAGGCGAAATGTTACACTTTATATTCTTTCCCATTATGATTCTTATTTACGAGTTAATGCAGCTCCGCCACATCCATCTGTCAGCGGGAATGTGTGCACTGCTCGTGAGTGCAGAGTGATCTTAATGATATATATATAAGAAACGTTCATAAAATATCCAAATATCTTATTATTATTTAAAAATTCCTGCTCTGTTCTGGAACCATTTGGAATACAAATTGAATATTTTATAAATATTTAGCGTTAGCTGGAACAATAGAGGAAAGTCGCCGATACCGACATACCACTTTTGTTGTTTTTAGATAATATTTCTTAAACAAAAGGTAAAAATAAAACTTTAAAAACGTAAGTACAAACTGAAAAATGTCTCCTATCAGATAGTATAAGCAGTTTTTATAATACTGTTTGCAATTTTGCAATAATTAATTTTTTTGTAAGGCAAGCAAAAATGAGCATCTGACAAAACGGGCTCCAAAGCATTATCTGTATAAAGTACCTACAAATGAATGTACGAGTATATAAGAATCTTTTCACTTTGTTATAGAACATTTTTATTGAATTATATGCATATTTATTTTATGCTGTTCTGCAAGATACAAATGTATAATGCGAAAGTTTTTCAAGAATTTTTCCATATATGCACGATTGCCTTCAGCTCCAATAGACTAATTTGACACTATAAAGCACCATTATAAAGATTAAGTTAGTTCATGGTCTGTTTTACAGACAGGTGTGACGCTTTACACTGCACCCCAATTTTAAATTTAAAATCGTATTATGAAAAGACTAAGAGAAAAAATAATATAAATAGAACTGATTTAGGAAACTACAAGCATTTAAAATGACGTAATATTATCGATAATATAATCACTATTATTTAAACCACGCAATTTGCAAAAGAAAATCATAAGAATTTTATTTTCGCATTCGTAGAATTCGTTTTTAGCTGATTTGGTATAGAAACAAGCTATAAATATACGAATTATGAGTTTGTACTTCTTTAATTAACTAAACAGATCATGATTTTATTAGTATTAATAAAGTGCAATAGTTAGTTTCTGAGAAATAAGGGAGTGACACAGGTTAGGAGACCTATGTCAGTATCGGCGACTTTCCTCTAATAATGTTGTTGAACAAAATAATAATAAAAATAATATTTTTATTGAAACGTAAATAATAAAAACTATTATTTATTTTAAAAAATAATTTGAAAAAATGAATTGTTTGTTCTAACGTAACTACAATAAATTTGACATATAAAAAATATAAAAAAAAACGTATTTAGAAATATTTAGAATGTACACACAGTAGCCAATCTCGAAACGTCACTTTTAAAATTGATGCATCGGATTAGTTGACGCTTACGACTTGCGACTCGCATTTTGCGTCTTATGTACATCGAGCTTATGTCTGTTCTTATATGCAGAATAATTAGAGGAATTATAAAATAAGAATAATTTCATTTAAAACACAAAGTTGACTTTGAAATATCTGAAGCGTCCCCATCTGGACAAATAAATTCGAAGATATTTGAGATAGTAATAGTTATTGAGACACCCTCTATAGCAAACATTTCCAGTTTTGTTATAAATAATTGATAAAGGATTGGAGAAAAATGAATCGACGATCGTTTTAAGGTTTATTTATTCAACGCAAAGTTAGATGCTACAACTTTGGTACAAAAACATAAAATAGTGGCGTTAAGAGGAAACGGTACACTGCGAGCGGATCCTCGAGTCTCCTCGAGCGCGGAGGATGTTGCGCGTATTTTTTGTTACTTTTTCACTATCAAACGTGAGATCACGTTCCCGAATTCTTTCGCACGTTATATGCGAGGATCGTCAAAAGGACGCGAAGGAAACGCTTCGAGTTTGACAGGCAATGCGATGGTAAGGAAGGAATATATAGATGGAAAGGGGAGAGAACACGAGCTCGAAGAACCGCGCTCGCCGTCGTACGAAAAGAACAGCCAAATGCTTTCAACACAATATTATCAATCAAGCATACACAAGCGAGCGACACGCTTCGCGGCGTCTCTCAAGAAAGTAACGTCGAATCTTGCAAAGAATTACTACGCAGTACCTATATATAACGTCAATCACGAGAAGCGCGACGAGCGAACGATGGGCACGGGGGGTATCCGGCAAGAAAGGCACAAGGACGGCGCATATATCAATCTTATGAGAATGCTACTGCATGGACAAAGCAACCGCGAGTGAGAGATGAATGAAGCGATAAGCAAACATGGACGTAAAATTCTCAGTCTTTGAGTATTACTCATCATATATCAACGTTTCAGCTGCGAAAAACATTTAATGTTTAGCCGAAGATCGATTTAACTGATTATTACTAAAATGCCTCGTTCATAGCCCCTTTTGCCGGTTACCCCGGGCCGCTTACAACATAAACGTTTATCACCTGTGCGACGTCGCGGACGTCCACTTCGCTTAAGACAAAAGTTAAAAACCGCGACCAAGATAGCGCGCGGACGTGATCGTATTACTATATACGAATGCATTAATATCATCATCATTGTTATCATCATTATCGGCCTGTGCCGTACTAGCTCTGGTTAGATTCGGAAGCGATTCGAAGCGACAAAGTTTCGCGGGGGCGAGTTACGTGAGTAGAACGTGATATTGTAATTCGTAAAGGGTGATTTGGGACGAGATACGGCTACGTTAATTACGGTAAGAGCGCGATTGTAACATATACACGAGACACGAGGCTTTTTGCGCAGCCTTTTAAAATCACATCGATGAGTAAAAGTGCGTTGGCGCGTCGAACCGCGACCAGTTTCGAGTGGCAGAGGGTAGGAATTCCTCTGCGAGAGTAGAAGCGACTCGAACGGACGAAGCACCCTTCAAGTTCTATTCCAACATTCCGAAAATTCTCTCTTTACAGCCTATATGTGCGCATTTTTACAGTTTTAATCCCATTTCACACTCACAGAGGAAAGACATAGTAGTAGCAACTCTATATAGGTGACAACTATTATATATAAGTTTTATATTATGTAGAATTAATGTACGCGCGTAGTTGAATAACTATTTTATAGTTATTGCAATTATAAAATAGTTTATTCAACTATGTACAATTAATTCTACATAATACAAAACCTATATAGTTACTATCACTATATGTTTTTCTCTGAGTGTAGTGAGTAATAAAAAACAATGGCAGTAGCAATTTAGGCCGTACTAATTGCGGCTTGAATGAAATTGACTTTAAAATGTAATTAGCACCAGAATATTAATGTCACATAAATTTCAAAATATTTTCTTTCGATCGATAAATGTATAAATAGATTGGATGAAATGAGTTAATGATAACATCAACAAGGAATAATAATTCACAAGATATAGTTTGTCCAACACGGTGAGAGTTAAATACGCGGGAATAATTGATGTCGACGTGATAATCATTTTTCGAGAGTGCTTCTTTGCCTAGTCGCCCAACTGGTAGTCGGCTCGCGCATCGCCTCGGCAAACAAATGCGACACCTAGAAATAGCTACTTACAACGTATGTATATATAGTTAGTGTATAATATATATTTATATTTATATTTATATGTATATATCTAGAAATAGTATCGTGATAAAAACGAACTATGAGACACGGCATCGTGGCCGCGGCGTTGCGCGACGTCGGGCTGGTGCATACGCGAAGAAGCTCGAGAAGCATCCGCTTCGTTCGTCGAACCAGCAAAAGATCAATCGTCCGATCGCGGACAGACAGACCATCTTCGATTTGCGTCCTGAGGTATACGTTCCGTTAACCAGATCCCGACCTCTCGCCCCGTCGCGAAGATCAACGATCGCCTTCTCGCGACCATCCGTCCGACTTATGAACTATCTACGTTAAACCAGCTTCTTTTATTATTACTCGAATCGCTTACACCTGTAACGATCATCGTCGCGATGTCAGTGAATTTTACGTACGGTACGTCGCGTAATTGATCGATAGAAGATTAGCACGGGGGGGAGGGATAATTAGGTGTATACAGCGGACTAAATATTTATATCATATAGGACGACAGCAAGTGTAGTGTGGCGTATATTGCGTGCACGCGCCAGCGCGCGTGGCGATCATGTATCGTAATGTATCGTTATGTGGCTGGCCTGCCGTGTGTATATCGAAGCGTTCCCTCGATGGCTTGCCGCGTTGTTCTTCCTACGGACAGTCGATCGGTGTTTTGTGTACGGGACTTATCCCCTTTCGAGTGAACAATGGGAATGTCTCGAATCGATCGCCTAAATGGATCATCGCTACAAGGACGACGACGACAGCGACGATGAAAGACGAAAATGCGACGACGTACCCTATAAATCTTGCTCTCCGCGACGTCGAGACTTAGGATCACCGATCGTCAGGGGGGTAAAGGGCGGAAAGGGAGCGAGAGCAGGGGCGGGGACACAACCTTCGTTACGAAATTATAAATCGTACAGTATATGTATATAGTATATGTGTACGTATGTATCTATATATCGTACGCCCGCAGGGAGCGGCAGTGTGGCACAACCATGACTTAAAAAGCGACCAACTAATCTCATGTATACGCATATATGTCGTTTATACGTTTCCTTTCTTTTTTTTTCCATCATACGCAACTCCTGCGACGAATGTAACCTAGGATTATATCCTGGATATATATCAGAAGACCCCCGTTAAATTCACCGTCGCCGAGAGCACCATCGCGGGCCGCGTCTCTGCCGCAACTGAACAGTCCGCGAACACGACTTCCGGCTGTGTTCGCCTTCCTACAGGACAAGTCTCTCGCGGCAGTCTCACGAGCCTCCAAGATCTCGCGCACGTTCGACGATAGTGCGAGAAGATTCAAATTCCCCTCAGTGTCTCCGATAATCGAAATATTTCGTCGTGTGTGTGTGTGTGTGTGTGTGTGTGTGTGTGTGTGTGTGTGTGTGTGTGTGTGTGTGTGCGCGCGCGCGTGTGTGTGTGCAGAGATAGATAGTTATTAAAATAAGTTCGTGTCGTCGAGTATAGGTACATTCACAAATCATTGAGTTTGATCGCACGTCATCGAGAAAGACACGTATCAAAACGCAGGTCATTTTCTTCAGTCGTCAGTATAAAAAAAATTTCAGAGGATGTCGAATCGAACGTGCGCGAGGAGTTCCAGAACTCGTAAAAAAGTTACGAACGAAGTTCGTGGCTGACCTCACGAATCGTTGTGCCTCCTTCGCAGTAAGGGCAGTAGATACAGACAGTCTTGAGTCTGGCCTTCTCGAATGTAATCGACTAAACCGATCCAAAAATTTATCAAAAACAAGGCAGTTTCAAGTTGGCCTTCCCCCAGGATCAAATATAAACGAACGTACCCGAGGAAGTACAATGAAAGAGCGGAAGGCCGTGAGCGAGAGAAAGTGAAAAGTCGCGTGATATGGTCGCAAGAGCGAAGGAGGCGGTCCCATTTCGCGAGGCGGGCTGCAGAATCCTCGTCCGTAATCATGATCTCGAGATGATATCAATACGCGTACACCTTACACGGTAATCGAATCTATCTACTCGCGACGACGTCTCTAATTTCTATCGTAAATCGTTGCAAATTGGACCGACGACAGCACCGGGGGAAGAGTTAGCGTGCGCTTCATTTCCGCGTCTCTCGGCTGCTTTCCTCGCGGCCGCCGGCTATCGAGAGAGGCGGAAGACCACGGAAGATGACGATTTACAGGTTACACTGCCACAGTATCGTAGGGTGTGAGGAGTCCCCCGTGACCGCCGTGGGGGCCGCCGGTTTGCCGGCCGGAAGCTTCGTTTCTGCAACAGGAGTTTGCGTTTTTTATATCCGACGTCGATCGATCATTTTACCACGCAACAATCCCATTCATTCGAAGAGATCTCTCCCGCGCGATTTTTTATGTATGTGCAATCAATTTTAAGTAAATTTTTCGTTATATTTGTGTTTAGCGTTAAAAAAAAAATTTGTTCAGCTTCGTATCACTCCCTTACTTCAAAATTGATACAACTAAAAAAACGTGATTCTCTAGTTGTTACTGTAAATGAGTTAGAATAGTTAGATAAACATTATTTTATCATCAAAAGTGAAGTAAAGTAACTTCATAAAAAATTGTTAAAATCATCAAAACTTAAAAAGGGTAGTTTAAAAAAATTATCACAATTTAAAAAGAGTAGTTTTTCAATGATCGTGAAAATGACTTTTAATAATATTAAAAATATATTCTTTTTACACAATATTATTCCTTGATTAGTTAATAATTTTCTATTGAATTGAGAAATTGTTTTTCTACTTTTCTGAGAAATCTTAATTTTTGTAATTGTGTCACTTTTGAAATAAAAGAACAATATATTATCTGCTATATGAAGAAGAGATCTCTGCAAATTGTACGAAAACATGCGCTGTAACAACTAGCAACGATAATGGCAGTGATAATGCTATGAATAAACAAAATATAATAATGACGATTGTAAACATGTCAGTCGTTAGCGGCGTAAGCAGCCCCGAATAGAGTTCGAAAAGCGGTGACAATAGCAACAGCTGCAGTGGAAATACGATCAGCGTATTATCCCTATTGCACATTCCAGCTTTGCATTAGTTACATAACTACACGTTACACATGGAATTATTCATCAAAGCTACATGCGAACACATTTCATGTTAGTAAGCGTTTTCAATGGAGATTGGGGACTTTGTCATGTCCGAAAGCAACGTTTTGAAAGGTCGTCTACTCTGCTCGTCGCAAAACAAATCGGGTAGCCGAACTTCAATGGGATGATGAAAATCAGTGGAAAATGATATGACGCATTTCAAAAGCTCTTCACATGTCTTTTAACGTTTGTACATCCTGACTTGATTATGTTTAACGAACTTACGGCTTCCTGCGTAATTAGTCATGAAACAAGAAAAGATCAGACGTTCGTTAAATAGATAAATAGTTAGGTATTCGAGGCTCTTCGAAGGTCGAACCACCGTGCACTCGATCGTTGTCAATCGACAATTCAATCGCGCACAAATAATCAAGTATATAATGAAGATATGTAGCGAGGATGCGAATCGAAAGGATCGATCGATAGCGTGATTCTTTAAAGAAAAATTAAAAATCATGGAGGCGAATCGGATTGCGGTCTATGCCGCGGTGAGCGATCGTGATACATCGCTCGATTCGGAAAACGCCCGCGGGACATTTTGTCACGGTACAATACACGGTAATTACAGCTCTCGCGAAAGTAAAATCGCTCGAGACACAGCGGCAGGAACGGTGTAACGCCATTAAAACCGTTCACCGTTAACCAAGCTCACTCGCGCTCTACTGACCTCTCTATGAGTTTACGCATCTCCTCGGTGGTCATGCCGTCCTTGCCGCGAGCATTCACTGAAATAGAAAAACACACGGCACGATTGACACAACGATTAAACTACTACGACAACACGTAACATGCAATTTGTGGAAAACTATATAAACGATTAGGATTAAAAAAGACAAAAAAAAAGAAAGAAAAACACATAAGTCCACGGCGAGTCTTCTTCATTCGCGACTCGCCCGCCATGCGATACGTCCGCATAATGAGCCGCCGTACGCCTAATAATGCTTAATGCATAATGAAACGAGCATCAGTAGTAGGGCTGAATCAGAACGAGATTGTTCTTCGAGAGGGAGCATGTCACCGGACCGGCAAGATTCGAGCGGGAAAGGCGAGCTTTACGACTTCCCCGTCGGATCAGGTCGAGCTTCATGGTCTCCCTCGTTCGCTCGTTCTCCGAGTTGTCATGAATCTTTCTACTGACCGCCGTAGTTGCGGTTGACAAGCTGATCGCGATCACACTCGGCCTCGCTGATCTCGTTGCTCTCCTTGCTGTCGTTGAAGCTGGAGTTATTCTGATCCTGGTGGTTTCTCGGTGGTGGTGGGGGTGGTTCCGGCGAGCCAGAGATGGGAAGGTTGCGAGCCGAGCCTACACTACGACGTCCGACCGATCCGCGAGATCCGTAATGATCGTAAGGTGCGCCGTATTGTCCGTACTGTGATCCGTATTGGTCTTCCTCGGGAGCGCAGTTAGCCGGATCGTCATATTCGGGTGAAAAGACATTGTGCGTGCCGCTGCCACCTCCTTGGGATGGTACTCGAGAGTAGCGACCGTTTTGACGAGGCTGTGGAAAAAATCGATCGCGATTCCAGCGATAATTATATTAGAAATATACTGTCTCTATTATTTTTTTATCTTTTTCTTTATTTTTTTAGTTTTTTTTTATATTTTTCTTTTTTTAATTTTTTGCATTTTATGTACATATATATCTTATTGTTTGATATTTTTTGAGTAACGTATTAACAGGTTTTTTTGAAAATCTTTTCACTGCCTGTGATTTAATGCCATTTTTACAAATAAATCAGAAATCTTTTAATATTTGTAATATAATAATTCACGGATACGTTGCTTATTGTTTAAATACGAAAAAGAATTATAAAGTACCATAGATTGAGATCCAGAGCGGCTATGAGCAGAAGCATTAGTCGGATGTCCTACGGGTGGTCCCATAGTGCCAGAATGGCCATTTCCTGGATGGGGGAAGGTCTGGAATTGCATAGCTTTGCTCGGATCCATTTCCTCGCGGAATCCCAATAAATGGAACGTAGCATACGGGCAGATCTCATCCTCCATACCTAAAAATGGACAATCAACCAGGGTAGACTCTGCCACTATAGATGAAAAATTTACGAGACATTGTTGAACAATACAGATTGCTATGAAGATTGCTTCCCGTGTGTAAACTTTTACTTATTAACAGCAATTTCTAAATACATTTTTATTAAGAATGGAATTGAAAAAAATATTTGTAAGCAATTCATACTATTAATTCTACATGCGTCTTATATCCAGATAAAGAAATTTCTTTTGCTCACTATGCTTCTTCTTTCTTCGATTCTCATTTTATTAAATCATTAAATCTTCAAAAATTGATCGTGCATTAAAAATGTATTTAAATAAATAATTTGAGTCATTTTATCGATTATTTACATAATCTTTGTTATACGTAAAATAATGTTATATTCAAGACTGGAAAGTAACGCGTTACTTATTACAACATCGTTAGTAATAGGTAACAACGTTACAATTCTTTATTTATAACGTTAATGGTTATATTCTTTAATGAATATAACTATTATTTTTTACGCGTATAATATATATACAATATATATATACACATATGTATATATTATATATATATATATATTTATAAAACATGAATAAAAGAGTTTTTTGACCACATTGATAAATCATGATCACTATAGATCTTGTGTTGAACCGATCAGTTAGTGACATTGACATAGACAATTGGGTCACTTTAAAAAATACTTATGATTATAAAAATTCGGTAAAAAGTAACAGAAATTGTAACAAGTGTTTTTAGTATAAACAATAATGTTATAAGTTAAGACATTTTAGAATCAGTAATAAATAATGGTAATACACACACAAGATACTTTTATAAAGTAACTTTCCTAACTTTTGCTATAGTCTACAATTAATTAGATGCGTTTCAATATTTGCTGCCAGTACTGAAGATCTATATAACATATGTTACGTATTATATATATACATAGATTTTCAGTACTGGCAGTGAATATCGCAGCCGTAATTTCTTAATTTTATTAGTTATCTATTTGATTTAAAATATTCAAAATTCCTCTTATTGATCGTTCAAAAATCCTGAAAATCGATATGACGATAATGGACATATATTTCTATCTTAGAAATGCATGAATGAATGTAATTCCTCCTTATATGTGGTTCGTGTTATCTGTCGGCGTGCTATGAGCGCAGGCATGCGGAAACGTGCAAACATCGAGAAATGAGACGTGCCGTTAAAGTGATGTGAGGTTTCACGAAACGAGAGGGGACTTACGAAGACTGACTGGTACGAGCCAGCAACATCGCCGGCTCCGGCCTGCGATTATCAGTCTCTAGAGCGATCGGGTGAATGCCGAATGCCCGTTAACCAAAATTGCTATTACCAACCTCTGTGCGAAAGACCATCCGCGCTGCCCATACGTGGTGGTGGTGGGCATCTCCTGTTAGGCGCGTAGTGACTCAATTCCTCATACATGTGTCGCCTCGGATCCCACGTCGAGTGACTCCTTAACGAGCTAGTCCCACCTATCGAACACATACTACAAAGGTCGTACGACACGCTGGCGCCTATCAAGATTCGTTCCCGCCAACTAATAGCCCTGTTCTCTTTAAAGAGTTTAGAGGATTCGAGCTCTGGGGAGAAGGTATTTTTTACTTTTTCTTTCTTACTAACGTTTGATTAATACGCAAATCGATACAGTCGACACTCGTTAGGCACCAACGGCGTGATAAGCGCAAACAAGTAGGAACGAACGTTATGTCTTCGCTGGAGGGACATACAAACTCGGTAACGTATATAAGAACATTTCAAAGCATGGCGAACGAAAAAAGTAATTGGCATTGATCGTGTATATGGGTTCTGTTTGGCTTGGGGATCTGTCTGACATTGACTGGGAGCCTATCATGGGAACCTATGTGCAAATCTCGATGTGTATCCCTTGAAAAGATGAAAGAAGGAACTATCGTGCCGATGCGACAACAACTAGACAAATTGAAATTGATCTAAAAGGTAAGTGTTGGCAGTTGTGGCTTACTTATAACTGTACCTCGCTTGATACGATCGCAGGTGTTATAGTTTGAGCCGGGTACAGGTGGAAGCTTGCGATTCGGGGGTGCGATGTATCCCAGTTCATCGCGAAGATCGGATCTGCGTTTGTCCAAGGTAGCGCCGCCAACTCCGGTTTGCTGGTAGACTACGTCGTCTGAAATAAAGACGCTCGATCTTATAATTATGAATGTACGTACATTTTGATACTTCTGATCTTATTGTTGACGAATTATATTGATTATATATGCCATCACCCACGCTTGTGAAATAAAAGGAAAACGTAGGGAAGAGGAAAATTCTGAAATTTAATATTCGGAGAGGATTCCAAGACTAGGGTGGTCGACGCGTAGATCGATCGTCAGGAAATTATCACGATAATATTACTACATTACAAAATATAAAATTGTTATGATAATGTCTACGACTGACGATTGTGATACTTTTCTCGATCAGCTAATTGAGAATATCATTGCAGTTTCGTATTCAATGCAGTTTAATTTCCCGATGAACCTCTACCGTCTTTATGCGACTTAACAAGTAAAAGTAATTAAAAAAAATTTGTATACATTGTCCCTCGTAATATTTCTCGTCGGCTGAAGAGATACCTCGCAGCCGTGTTTGTTCCGGACCTCGAGTTCTTCTCGAGAGCGCCACGCAAATGACAACTATTCCTACTATTATAACAACGACCGTCGCGCCAACTGGCACCACCACGTTTACGTCGAGCCAGCTGGGTAACCATGGGAAATACCGTCTCACATCCGCAGTGTTGTCATTACCGCCATTACGTATGGGAGGTGCGATCGTACCTATTTAAAGAAAAAAATAGATTTATGATGAATACCTTTATCGCTATTGTGACCCTTCCCCCTGAGAATGCAGATCACAATGACGGCAACGATTATTACGAGTATGGCTGCTACCACAGGTACGACCAGATTTAAGTTAGCCATGAAAATTTTCATTGGGTCTTCGTCGTTGCCACCACCGTTCACGTCCGGCAGCTCGCGGGCCGGTGCAATGGTGCCTGGAACAGAAAACGTTTCGGCGATCCATCCAGCCACCATTGGCACCGGCTACGAGGCGCCGCTGTGTGTCAGACGACCATCCATACTTACCACCAGTCACCGTCAAAGTCGCGAATTCATACTCGGCCACGGCGAAACCGGCATTATTGTGAGCCGTAACACGCAAATGGTACCAGCTAGCGGGGTCCAGATCCAATACTACGAAGTTACCGCCCGGTTTGACGTTGTTCGAGACCTGGTTCCATTCCTAGGATTGGATGTTCATCGTGTGATTATCCTTTCATCTTACTTCTTCTTGTGTTCAACAACGAAGTACAACATGGGGCAACCACCATCTGACCAGGTGCTCAAATGCAAAGAGATGCTATTTGTGGATACCTCGATAAATTTCGCTGCTTCGGGGATGATTGGTTTGGAGCCCTTTGTGCGCGTGTTTAGAATGTCCGAAGGATCGCCGATTCCAATTCTGCAAAAAAACTCTCATATGTATGAAATTTCTTATTACAAAAATTACTTTACGATTTTAGCAGTAAAGTTACCCGTTATAAGCGGTGACATAAATCTGATATCGGGAGCCGCACCACAGATTCTCGAGTGTATATTTCTGTGCTGTGGAGCTAATCTGAACGGTTTCCCAATCGCCGAACTCGGGTTTGTAGTGAATCGTATAGCCGTGAATCGGTGCATTGTCCGTAGGATGCGGGCGTAATTTCATCGTCAAAGAGTTGGTGGTGGTGGCGGTAAGGGTAACTTGCGGTGAGTGCGGAGGAGCTGTGAAAATATAACGTTAGTTTTAATATAATAACGGATAATTGAAATCAGTAACTAAAACTTCCATGTGTGTTAGAATATTTATGTACCGTGTACAACCAGCTGATGAGTCACGGTATCATGTCCAAAAGAGTTTTCCACGTAACAAGAATATTCTCCAGCGTCCGCGCGGTCGACTTCCTTGATGAATAGCGATCCCTCAGGTAATTGTTTCAATCGTTCGGTCGATTGAAGATTAGCGCCTCGTACCTTCCATGTTACTTCCGGTGCGGGTACGCCGACAGTGAGACACGGCAGTTTAACGTCCTCTTTGTATGTCGCAGTGAACTTATCATCGAACGATGCAATTTTGGCCGGTACTGTAAGTAAAGTATGAAACTTACAATACTTTCTAATTTATAATAGACTATGAAATTTGTAATCGATTCACGAATTTAATTTGTTACAACTAAAATGTGAATTTTGAATGAAGAAATTACCTCGAACACTTGGTCCCAAAGTCACAATCTTAGAAGCTTCACCTTCACCAATATTCGTGCTAGCGGTCACCCAAAATTCATATCTTTGTTGCTTGTCTAATCCAGATGCTTCGTGAGTTAGTTGATTTGGTGGTACTTTCTGACTGGTTGGCTCCTCTGCATTGTCCGCTTTCGTGTAAACAGTATACTGAGAAATAACTCCATTAGGTTGACTGGGCGGACGCCATGAGATAAGAATGGATTCCGAAGACATGACTAAAGCTTTGATAGCAATAGGAGCTTCAGGTGCTGAAAGTAGACACGGAACATGTAATATGTTCAAAAACATGTGCTTTTGCATAATGAACCAATACAATGAACATTAATTGATTTCTTAATTACCATCTTGCTCAGTTTGGCAGTGAATTGGTGCAGACTTAACGCCGTCTCCTCCAGATGTGAAAGCCAGAACTTGCATGCTGTAGTTGGTATATTTCTTGAGACCGTGCAGGATGGTCTCGCTAGAAGACGTGATCTTGGTGTCTTTCGTATTCTCGTCATACCACGTATCGGACGGCCCATAGATGACCTAAAGCAAATATTTAAAGATGCTACTGCAAACGGTTTTATGCCTCCCTCTCGAGTCATGTTTTTACTAACTTTGTAACCGGTGATAACGCCGTTGGCCGCGCTGAGTGGCGGTGACACCCAGGACACTCTAATAGTCTGAGAAGTAAGAGTTGTGCAAGTAGTGTCATGGGGCGGTTGCTCGGGCACGCCTTCTGCGGTGTGTTGCCTGCGTTCCTCGCTCATTGGTCCGGAACCGACTTTGTTAAATGCTTGAACGACCACGCCGTACTGGGTGTAAGTCTTGAGGTTCGCGATCTGCAAGTGATGCTCCTTTGTGTCTTCCTTAGAGAAATCAACAGTCTCAAACATGTACGGCTTGTCCGACGATTGTCTGTATCCAACGTAGTAGCCCAGAATTTCACCGTTCCAGTCCTCGCGTGGAGGCGGTTTCCACGTTACCTGATGGAATTTACATTTATTGCACATATATTCCCAAACGCCTATACAGCATACAACGTTCCAGCAATAACATTACGAATGTTGCTGAAATCCTCTGTATATGGGCACCTACAACGCAATTGTTTTGCTTACCTTGAGCGTGTGCTGATCGAGAGCATCCACCTTGATGGAAGTTGGCGGGCCAGTAGGTGCTTCTTCTGCGGTAATAATGGTGACCGTGTCAGACGGATCAGATGTGCCAATTTCGTTTTCAGCGACGATTCGAAGGTGATAGGTGGTCGCGGGTCTTAGATTATATACTCCGGCTACGTTCTGTTGCGAGCCAGGTACGAGCACTCGATCAATATCAGTTTCCCAGGAACCCTTGCTGATTTTGTATTCAATAACATATCGTTTAATCGGGCTGTTTCCATCATAAGGTGCGGCCCATGATAATTGCACCGAACGTCCTGATTTATCCAACACTTTAAGACCATATGGAACTTCTGGCACCTCTATAATAAATACATAAATTCGATCGTGACTTCACATATTTTGTTGATTTATCAAACATGTTATGTATAATTATATGAACCAACCTTGTACGATCATATTAATGCTAGTGTCATCACTACCGAAGGCATTCGTGGCTACGCAAGTGAACAAGGCAGAATCGCTCCTTTCGGTTCGTTTGATGCTCAAGTCGGACAGTACTCCGTTAGCCAAGATTTCTTCACGAATAGTATAACGAGGATCGCTCTTCGTATCCAATCTCTTGTTGTTCATGTTCCATAAAATGCCAATTGGTTTCTCTCCTTGCGCCTCGCATTGCAATACAGCCGGTTCTCCACGACGAGCGGTTTGGTTTCTTAGTTTAATTTCAAACTGCGGAGGAGCTAAAAAGATATTGCAAAAAGATGTATAAAACGCAATAAAAATTACAAGATACAAAGAACTAGACTAAACGTGAAATACCTTGAACCGAAATAAGAATGACAGCTGATAAGCCTGATCCAATTCCATTAACAGCCTCACAAAGGTAATAGCCTTCATTCGTCTTTTGTATATTGTTAATAGAGAGAGTGCCATCTTCCACGCTAATGTCAGGGTTGCTCAATTTCAAATCGGTATAATCTCCCGGCGTATCCCCTATAAGATGGAACAGACGTGTATAATTAGTATACCTATACAAGTAGAAAGGTTTACTATTTGTTAGGCTGCGGTTGCTAGTGTACTTACCAGCAGCTCTCTTCCATGTGACCTGAGGCTTGGGAAATCCGTCGGCTTTGCATTCTACTCGTGCATCGGAACCTTGAGCAAATGCCTTATCGGTAGGTTCCAGGATCCAACGGGGAGGTACTGTTACAGAATAAATAAATTAGCCGCGATGTATTTTTGCGTACATAAGATTGTACAGTATCCAGGAGCCAGTCGCTTGAAAACTCGAGTCGTTCGCTTTTCAAAAGTCTCAAAACTTATTATTTATAGTAATAAAATTATTATCTAAAGTTTAATTGATTTAGACAAGTGTATTAATTACAGTAATAGTAGACTATATTGTTTGCTTTCTTTAAATTCTATGAGATATAAAATTGAGTGTCTGTATTTAAAATAAGTTAATGAAATTGCCGCTTAGCATTTATTCTTATATAAATATCAGATATTAGAAATAGTTTTAATATCATTAAATGATGAAGACTCGAATTGTATGGCAATTTTGTCGCATGCAAAACAAAACGCGACACGCTCCTGCTACTGTGATGAATAAAATACACGGCATGCGGGATTCTGAAGTGATTATGCGGGTATCTAATGCATGGAAGAGAGAGAGAGAAAGTGAGAGAGAGAGAGAGAGAGAGAGAGAGAGAGAGAGAGAGGAGATGCATGGGAAAAAAAGAGACTTTGAAGGAGCCTAACGGCGAGCATGCACGAAGCGCTATCGAATTTGTATTCGAGCACGGTGCATCATGCTGTACCGCGTTTACTAATAACATTCGATTACGCTCGTTCATGTATATAAATGCATGCATATTAAGTAAGTATCTACGCTACATACGCGTCTACAAAATGAACAAGGCAAAATGTGTGATGAGAGATGGTCAAGGGTCGAGGAGGGGCTTGTTTAGGGGAATCCATTCGTAGGTATAGGGTTGTGATGAATTGATCGTGGGGTGAATTCTGAGATGTGGTTGGATGGTCGGTCGGTCATCATAGTACAAGGACGCATTTTAGCGCGAATGGGGCTACGGTGAGGTATAAATCGACACTCGAACGTACACGAGACGGATCATATGCAACTTGCATGTGAAACCTACGCAATCCTGCGATCACAAAAAGTGGCATTTAAATCGTTTGTACTACGGGAATGGCGAACGCGTTCGTGAAAGATGTAGAAACGCGATGTGATTCGCGTGCGAAAGGAAAATACATCCTGTCGCGTTATTTCGCCACAGGAATGATCGAAGCCAACGTAAAAAGTCGCACAAGAGCGGCTGACGATGAGAGCAAAATAAACGAGGAAAGGCCAACGGTTCGGCAAAAGCTATTGATTCTCAGAGCATGAAGGAAACTCGGATTGATCTTCGCTCGCTTGAAATACCGGCGGATACATAATAAAGAGGAAATTACAGCGGTGAGAAGTAAATATAGACAGAGACGGAAAAAAAGAGAAAGAGGCATAGATAGAAAGTGTGAAAAGAAAGTAGCAAGACAGCGAGAGAAAGAGTATACGCGCAGGAAGGTCGTCATCGGTGACAAAAGCAACGCTTTTTGTACAAGTTGAGCTGAGCGCGAGCTCCAACCAACTGAAATTCCAGAAAGCTTTCGCCAACGGGGGAAAAAACACATGATCAGCGTCACAGCAATGATGAATAAAATGCAACCAATCAAGCCTGCACTTAAATACTCGCGTGGGACCCGCGTTTCGTTTTTTTTTTATTATCATTCCGAAATTTCGCTCAACCATCATTATCAACGTCATGTCATTCTCAGTGCTCCGTTCTTTATTCTGGACCTAACCGTGGACTCGTAAGGTTGCCTCGTGGATCGCCCTGCCCGACGGATTACTAGCGATACACGCGTAACGTCCGCTGTGCTCCGGTGTTACCGGCTCGATCAGTAGTATACTCGTCCGTGGGCCGAGTTTCCCGACGCTGAATCCCATGAACTGCGACAATGGTTCGCCCTCGTGGGTCCAGGCGATCTCAATTGGCGTGTCGCCTATCGGTACCATGCATGCCAATTGGGCGGCCTGCCCGGCATAGATCGGTTGGTCTCCAAAATCGAACGGATTGATCCGTGGCAGGACTGCAACGGAACGGCAGATAGATCCAAGTTCCCATAACGATCTTCATTCCGGTTTCTTCGCGATCGACGCGAACGATCGTGGTTGATCGTCTATCGTCATTTGCGTCCGTTTTCTGTAATACGCTACCGTAGATTGCACGACAAATAATATCCGATGGCTCTAAACTAATTGCATTGGAATAATCGGAACTAGCAGTCCTTCAACTAAATCGACTGACTTCTGTAACCGAGCTGTCGAGATCAGAGAAGGGATGCGGAGTGATAGAGAACGTGCCAGAGAATGAGAGACAGTTCTGGGCCGGGAGAGAATGGGGGACATGGCTCATCTCGTAGTAATCGACGCCTCGTACGTGATTCAAACAGACGTGGGCACAAACTACTCTCGCCTATACGAATCAACTAAATAGTTTAACCTCGTTACAAGGAAGATAACTCTCTATAGACAGAAAGGAGGAATATGCGTCGAGCAATGCAGATTTCCAGACACACATATCTCGTAATATCATTACAATACAATTAGGACAGACAGATTGGAGATTTTACGACGTACGTAAAGCGGCAGCAAGGGGCGTAAATCTAACATATCGAAACGCTCTACTGATAGATATAAATATATATATATATGTAACTACAACCGAATAAAAGGGTAAACGTACCACTGCTTTCCGCTCAAATAGTAACACGCATACAAAACGGTAGTACTCTCACTACGCGTACGCCCGTTAAACACCATCATCATGCCTCGCGGTTTCGCTTTGTGTTAAAGAAAATATACGTATATATATGTATTTTTTATTTTATTCTCTGTTTTTTACTGGATGCTTTTGTGATCGTGTGTTCGTTTTCTCTGTACCGTTCACTTTCAGATGGGCGCTGTGCCGAGCACTGCCCGCTGGATTATCGGCGACGCAAGCATACTCCCCGGCGTGCTCCCCCCTGACAGCGGGAATCGTCAGGGCTGAGACTCTATCCCCCAACGCGGTGATACCCACTCCTTCGCCTACCTCTAAATGGCGGCCCTCGAACAACCACTTGAGCGAAATCGGCGTGTCTCCTTTCACGACCGCGCAATGGACGATTATCAGATCGCCGGAGTTGGCCTCGTCGAACGCGAACGGCTGCAGATGTGGAGCAACTGCCGAGAGATAGAGAACCAATAGAAACTAGAGACAACAGGCAATAATAGACGAAGAGAGAAAGAGAAAAAGAGTAAGAAAGAAAGAGAGACACGCGAGCGAGAATGAATGTCTCGCTTATTGAGGCGAATTTGTGCCACATGAGATTTAAGACGCGATATCATTGAGCGCAATTAGATCGGTAATTGTAATCGTAACAGCTGCTCTCATGTCTGACCGCATCCACAAAAATGGCGATTACAACCTAAACTTTATCGCACAAAGATCGATAAGAGCGCGACGGATATTTGAATGAAAATCGATCTTGAAACGAGTGTCTATGGGAAAAAGCGACGGTCTAGGATGATGGATAGGGAAGTAGCTTGGATACGGGATTGAGGAGAATTCGCAGGACTCAACGAAATATCGAGTAAACCCTTGCGGATCAGAGTATGCACCGTTCACAATGAGATCGGCCGATAGCTCGTGTCTGCCGGCAAGGTTTTCCGCGACACACGTGTACGTTCCAGCATGGGTCGCCTGGACGGATCCTATGCTGAGTATGGCGCCACGTCCGCCCAAATCCACGATCGAGATTCCGGAGTGCGGCGAGATTGCATGACCGTTTAAGGTCCAACGGAGCTGCAAGGGTTGATCGCCCTCGACCACTGCGCACGGTACCGTTACAACTTGACCTGAGTTAAGCGGCTCCTCGCCGAACGCGAATGGCAATAATTTCGGAATGACTGGAAGAGAGAAAGAGAAAGAGATCAGAAAAGGAGAGAAAGAGTTTTGAAGTCGCAGGCTACATCAGCACAGGCGGAGTTGCGCGATTAGTAGATCGATGATAAGAAGTTGTATTAGCTCGTGAAATATCCTCGCATCATTCGCTCTCTCTTCGTTTCTTCTTACTTCCGTTTATTTTAAGTCCGCGTTATGATGAGCGTGTCATTCTTGTATTGTATCGGGGTGCTATTTCATTTATACGTTTTTGTCGTACAACAAATGTGTGCAAGACAGAGAAGTCCTCAGATCTCTTTAAGCTATAGCCAATCAACAGACTTGAAAAATTTATCGTGTGACAAAAACGCACAAATCTAATCCCACCCTAGCGCTGTATATTTCGCGATGCTGATCAATAATAAAATCAAAAGAATGAACAGGCGTGTGTAACCAAAGAAATTGAGAAAAAATGTCATGTTCAATAACAACATTTGATGACTAAAATGATAGAGATGGGCTCTAGAAAACACAGACACACGTCGTGCTACGAGTAATATGAAAAGCGAAGATACGGAGAAACTCAGAGAGAAATAACGGCATGGGATAAAAATATAAAACGGGAACGAGGCCTCGAGAGACTCGTGAAAAATATCGGAGGAATGGATAAATCAGATGAGGATAAATTCAGACGAAAGATGGCTAAATACAGAAATGCAAACTGTGGCCATAAGTTTGTCGGAAGGTGTACCATTCACGTCCAACATGGCCGAATAGGAGGTCGATCCAGCTACGTTCGAAGCAACGCAGGTGTATTCTCCGGCGTGTCGCGCAGCTACCGAGTCGATGATTAGTTGTTTGACGCGCTTTCCGGTATCGGACACGATCACGTCACCGTGATAAGACTGTATAGGACGGCTGTCGAAGATCCACGTGATCTCCAGAGGAAAATCGCCTTTGGTCACTACGCACTGCACCGACACCAGATCTCCGGCATTAACGGGTTCCTCGCCGAAGGAGATCGGTGCTATCTGTGGGGAGACTGCGATACGAAAAAGAAGATAAAGTATATGATTCGAGAAAGATGGAAAAATCACGCATAGTATCTTGCAAAATCCGATGAATACATTTCTTAGCCTTGAAAGTTAAAAAACGTGAGGAACGAATAATTTTTGCGATTTTTGCATAAAAATATGAGAGGAATAAAATTGAAGGTAG